TTGAAGATCTGGCTATGCTGTGTTGTGATGGTGGAAAGATGGATGGAAAGGAAATCAGCTGATGAAAGAGGACATCAATTTCAGTCTGATAATATTTGAACTGTAACTTGCCTAGACGGTGTGTTATAAACAGAAAACGGAATGAACGAGTAGGATTCAGAAATACGGAGCAATTCATTTTAGTCGATACCTCGTTGATACCTTGTAATAATTTATGTCTAGCGACAGATAAGAACTTCTTTTGCGATTTATGAGTGTTTGTTACAATTCATTCATGTTTGAGACTGTACTGAATAACATCATGGTTCTGGAAAAAAAGGACGCTTTAGGCTATAATGATAATCTTGGGTTGAATCCCCGTATGGGATACCATTTTTTGCAGGGAGAAAAAATGCTGTTTATGGAGCCTAAAGAGTGTTTGCGACTGGAAAACGTACCATTTTTTGCATAGATTTTCATGCAAGCAAAACCGTTTAGAGCCTTCCAGAATGTCAAAAGCGTGCATGAGCACGGTACTTTGAAAATTTGAACAGGGAAAGGCTGAGAGGCTGCAATGAGCAGTTGTATATCAGAGTGCCCAGACAATTGAAGATAAAAGTTGCAGTTACGCAGGATCAGTGAGCTCGAACAAAAAATGATGCGACTCTAGCAAATTTAGATGCAATCCTGAAGGCCAAAAACTGGGATTTTTGGGCTTAAAAGCTATTTGAGCTCTGTAGCTCGCTGGAGGCGCAATGAACAGCCTGAAATTTTCAGGAATGAAAGTAGGAAGATGGTGTCATAATCCTGCAAGATTGCAGAAAAGCTTCCATAGCGCTGAAAGAAATTTTGATGCGATCCAAATACGACCCCCTTTTTTTTCATTTTTTGTTGTTATACATAAGATTTCAAAAAAATATACAGGCTTCAAAATAAGACCAGTGCAAAAATGCAGAAGAGCATGTCCAAAGTACAAGCAAATTGTATGGGTCAGTGAAAAACATTGAAAAAGATTTAAAAATTGTCGACGGTCGCTGGCAGAAATAACTTTTGTAGAGTGTGTGAGACTTCAGTAAGGCTTCTAGGTCTAAAACAGCACTTATGGGTCAATCGGCACACTCAACATCTTTATCATACACACATGCCTTCAATAGTGCTTAAGCTTCTGAAAGTGATTTCTGAATTTTTGGATATAGCAAGCCAGCAAGTGCAATCCTCGTCTGCAACACCAATTTGCTGAGAGAAAAATGTTGTTTTCGAAGCATAGAGAATGTTTGCGAAAAAAAGCTTATTTCCTACTTTCTGCACTTTTTCATCCAGACTATCCTCTCTTATCCCCCCCTTCTCCTGCCCTTTGACCCCCCTTTGCGACAGTCGTACCACACGCTTGACCCTGGCTAGGACGCTCACCTTCTTTGCATCACCATCACTCATTCAAGCCTCCCACGAAATAGACTCTTTGATTTGCTCATTCTTATCGCTGTCGTTTCACTCGATGTTCTGTGTATTTTCTCACCGAAAAAAAAAGGACCGAAAAACAAAAACGGAAACAAGGATGGGAATAAAGTTTTTCGAATTACTCTAAAGCTCTCAAAAGTTATATAGGACTTCGCATTTGGAGAATCAAAATAATTGTGCCGACACTGTGTTCAACCTGACGCGTTAACAAGTCATTCGAGAGCGCTTTCAATCTAATATGTGACTTCACAGTGGCGTACCCAGGATTTCCATTGGGGGGGGGGGGGGGAGGGGGCAAAAATTTTTCCGATGAAGGCGCGTGGTGTTGTTGGGCACGCATTCCGAAAAAATTTTTGGTATGCTTCACATAATTTTCGCGTGCCCGTAACTCCGAAATCTAAAAAAACGGGCTTGGCACAGCCACGCCCGCGAATAATTCTTCTTCTAAGGCTAAATTGAATTTTCAGAAAATTTTGAAAAATTATCTCAATTAAACAGGTATGAACTATGTAACTCATGTAAGTAACTTTCGGTTTCGCGACTCATTTTGCGGGGGAGGGGGGAACTCATTATAGTAAATGTCTCGCTATTTGTTCGATTTGGATTCGGTGTTGTTGGCTCTACTGTCAGCAGATGTTCAGCATGTAAAAGGTGATGATTAAACTGTCTGTACTACAGCAAATTTTACATTGCGCGTTAGTAGACATTAAGAGACCTGCAGTATGAGACGCACTTCGTGACTACAACATAACAATATGTCTGCGGTATACCGTTTTAGTCGGCTAGTCAGATTCCTGGATATATATGATGTCCCGATTTATCAAGCGTGAAGGAAATTTATGCAGTTGAACTATTTGGCGGTGCAATTGCATACCAGAGCGGGGAGAACTCTAGCTTTGATTTACCTATTCTCTGAGAATGCAGCACAGATGTTTTTGAGCTCCAGCAAACGCCTCTTCCTCCTCTTTCAGCACTTCGGTACAAACCCAAATCAAATGGCAATCCCCAACCGTTAAGTTGTGTACAGGTAATGATCGTTCTAGTCTAGAGTGTCGTAACCAGACTGGGGCGTAAGGTCAGGCATAGGTTCTCTGAAAAGAATGTCCCCCTCTTGCACGCCTATTAGTGACGCCTCCTTCCTCATTTTCACCTCCACAATCTCATACTGTCGCACTCACTTGTTGGGAAAGAAGCTTATAGTGAGGAGTTTTCTAAACATTTGAAGACTGTATGGATAGAAATAAGCCTGCAGCGAGGGATTTTTGATTTTTGAAGCCTGTAAAACCTGTAGTGGGACTTAATTCTTTGTCTGAGCGCCTAATTTTCTATGACTGCCGACCACATGACAACAGCAAATTGACTGTGAATTTCTCCTAGTAGAGTTCTTCCTTGTGAAAGTCATGACTCCCTCAGGAAAGGAGAGCTGTGGAAGAGTTTAAAGTTTACTAACAATCAAAGAAATGGAACTTGAACATCGAAGGTAAGTTAAATGAGTCAGGCATAAAGCTACAAAAGCTCAGGCAGCACGACCACGTGAGCGGTGGTGTCTGAGCTCATCGACTTTATCTTCAAAAAACCTTTTTCACTAAAATTTTACGTCGATCGTTAGCACAAACCTCTTTGGTTCTACACTAGATCTATGAGCTAACTTTGATTTTTTTTGGCTTTGTGGTGGTCGATGGAGTACAAGCACTCAATATCAAAACAATGACTGAAATGTTGGGAGCACTTCCAAACACTATAGGGTAGAAGTATGAAAACAGATTTCTGGCATATCAACAAGGGTTTTAGGTTAAGGCTAACCTCAATTGCCTCTGAAAATACCTTAACCGTGTTCGAAATTAACGCTTTTTAGGTATTAGGAAATGCTGTAAACTCTAGTAGGGAAATGTTATTTAGACGTCAAATGCAATTTATCATGCTGATTGCGGAACCTTCACACGCTGGGACTTCTTAGATAGCTTACGATAGATACAAAGTAAGAAATGAAGGTTTTGGAATTTGCTGGAATTCTGGTAGTGGAGTTATTAGATTTGCTGTTCACAGTTATATTCAATCTTGCAATAATCAGTTGACAAAACGATCTAACGCTTTGCCTCTCAATCAAACGAAGCAGTTCTTGATTACGATTCTCCTCCATTATCCACTCAACAATGCGACACTCCACCACGTTCATATAATATGGTCCACTCGGATCAAAAACCCGAAAAACCTCATGACTACTGGTAATCTTCTTCGCAAGAGTCATTAGATATTTTAGTTTTCACAGAATATTTCTAAGATTCAAGCGTAGCCTCTGGTCTGTGCTGTAAGACTCTCTAACGAAACAAGCTTTTAAAAAAAATTGGAATTAAAAGCATGCTTTCTTCTACTTGAAAAAATGTAACCATTTCATCCTAGAATCACTCTGCCGCTAATCTTGAAAGCAACAGCAACCGTTGCTACTACTTCTGTATCCTCCTAGAGTTCTCTCCAAGCGACCATTGCTATCACTAATTTTGCTGTGCAAGCATCTCAAATCGTATCCGCTAAGGACTAATATTTAGGGACCCGCCAGAAAAAAATCACATTATTTGATCCTTCCATTGTCGATCGTCTTTAAGTGCCATTCTGTAGCGCTGGCTTCAACTAAGATTTGCTATATGTAGAGACATCGATCGCGCTTCATTGCTGTAGGACTATAAGAACTTTGGAGAGGTTTTGAAAAATTGAAGGTCATATTCGCCTCAGAGACATTATAAAGCAAAATAAGAACACTAGGCTGATCGGAATCGCTGACTCTGCTATGAAATTTGTACGTTGCCGTAGATATTTAGTTATGAGTTATGCCAGGTACACCTGACATAACGTTCTCACTATCTAATATATAAAGCATCACAAGCGCAATTCAAAAATGTGCAAATAGCGGGAAACCGCGTGGCGGTCCCGAAGCGAACGCTCTTCCAAATAGCACCTTTAGATTGCTGGTTCACTAGTTCCTAGAAAATGTGACTGCATAGTTTAGAAAGCTCTAGAAATTTCAATAACTTAGGTAGTAAGATCAGCGCGCATGAAACTGCTACTTAATTTACATGGTTTTATCGGAAAACAGTTTATTCGCACTGGTGCTGAATGTTAAAACTTGCTATCGTAGTCCTAAAAAGCGAAGGTAACTTCTCCTGTGGAGTGAAAGTCTTTCAGAAAGAGTTCAATCAAACACCATGTATATTTCTCAAGAACACCCTATGTATAAAGGTTGTTGCGATGAAGGCGCAAAAGCAATATTAATTGAGCGGCCGCGGATGCAGTGTAGCTATAGCAGTGTGTTGACTCGAATGATTTGGGTCCTATTCAATGCGACCCCTCTAAACGGTGAGATGGTGCAACCGGCATGGTACTGCCGTTCGAAAAACAAATGCAAAACATGCTTTGCCTAGTCATATCCGCTCTGTTATCGGTTGCTGATGACATAAATCGATACAGGATACGAATAGAAACAGTAATTTATATGTTTGTCTATGTATTCTCCACTACTGAAAGTATGTAGGACTCAAGCATGGTTTTTGTGAAAGTAACGTGCTGACCAATAAGAGAAAAACTACTGTGATTCTTAGCAGTAGGATGAAGTATGGTGTAAATATGAAACAGCGATCGACGCCTGGACGAAACTAGTCATGTAAGTGAATGTAGATTTATCCTGTAGAGAAACGATGTATACAGACCATTTCATAGCACATTATTCAAGATGGAAGCAGAGAACGTGTAGAATATTAACACGTTGACGACGAGCCATTGTTTTGAGGCCTGTCCCTGTGGACGAGACGTTTCCATGTATCCCTACGCGTGGCCCATGTATGTATGCATACAAAATGCAAGCCCCCCCCCTATGACAAGCTCCGCCCACTCGACCAAAAATGTCGGAAATTGTCCAAATTTCAAGTATTTGTGCGATTTCCGCCACTTTTTAAAAGTGGGCGGAGCTTGCCACTTAGGGGGCGGGGTTTGCCTGACGGTGGGTGGGGCCTGGCTAAAAGTTGCTTGAGGTCTTTGCGTTCACCTACAGCCTCATCCATGCTTTTTATGGACAAAAAAGGGTCCTTGTGAGAGACATAGGAGTGGGCGGAGTTTGCCAAAAGGGGCGGGGCTAATACATGAAGTACATCTGAGCCTATGTTGATTATATGAACAAAAACTGTAAAGATTGGAAAGACAGTATTGAATTTAAGGCCGCCGCGCACCATTGCGCGGCGTCGTCCACAGGGACAGACTGCCTGCCGCGCACCATTGCGCGGCACTGTCGTCAACGTGTTAACAAGATATTGTACAGGGCGGGGACGACAGTTCTCGGACGTTTGCGCGCAAAAACTAATACTCCAATGCACTTACATTTACACCCTAGTACATGCTGTATCTCTATAAAATAGTGACTCGTACGCATGTGATTGTTATTTCGTATGGTGTATCGTATAGCTGTGGAGCCCACGATCTTGGGGCGTTAGCTAATAACACTTGTTTTTGCCCGCAAATCATAAATGGGATGGCTGAGTGTGCATGCAAGCTCATATATACAGAAGAATGTTATACACACCCAGTCGTAAATAACTCTTTCGTCTCAAAAGCTTTCGTGAGATTTTATTATTGTTGCCTACTGGCTTCAACATATAATAGGTCATTCCGAAAGTAATTTCGCTTTTTTCAAACGGGCGCCACGTTTGATGGAACAAAGATTTCTAAGAGATCTTGGCAGCATTCGATACAGCATTTCATCCTCTTTCTAATGGTTGTTAAATTATAGCAAGAAATTCAATGAGCTTTTGGAAAATAACCAAAATCTGCGACCTATGCTTTTTTGAGATGGTCAAGTTTCATAATTTTTCAAAAGTTTATATCAGTTCTCAGAAGGGGTTCGAGTAAAGATTCGATGGAGCAAACCTTGCAGAATACAGTACTGCTTTCTTCTCTCTTTCATAGCTCGCGGTAATTTTTTGAAAGATTTTTTAACAAAACCATTGGATTTTGGCAGGCCTACATCAGCCACAATCGCATCAAACATCATGATTATTCGGAATTTCAGACTACCAAGATGGTACTAAGTTGGCATTAATTTTACAAAGCAAGTGCGAATTTACGGACTCGAAATATCAAATTCCGAGTTTTTCGGATACAGCCTGGGGCTCGTCAAAAAAATTAGTTATGATGATTTTGTCCTCGAAATCCAAACGAATCGAAAGCAAAAAATACCCATTAGAAAGAGGAGAAAATGCTACATCGAATAGTGCCCGATGCTCTTCCTTTAATGTTCTACGAGGATTTAGCTGTCTAAGTATGGAAATTGGTAGCATCAGTTATAACTCTGTTAAAAATGTATGACAAGCTACGGAAAGGAGAAAAAAGCAGCACTGTATTCTATAAGGTTCACTCCATCGAATCGTTTCTTGTATTCCTTCTGAGGACTGATATGAAACTTTTAAAAAATTGTGAATCTTGACCATCTCAAAAAGCATAGGTCGCAGATTTTAGTTATTTTCTGAAAGCTCATTGACTTTGTTTGCAATATTTTCATAACCTTCAGAAAGAGAATGAAATGCTGCATTAAATGCTACCAAGACCTCTTAGAAATCTTTGTTCCATTAAATGTGGAGCCCGTTCGAAAAAAGCAAAATTAGTTTCGGAATGACCTAATATCTGCAGTACGAAAAAAAGTAGCGTCCGTTTCATTAGTGTAGAATTATGATCAAAACTTTCAAGAGGGCTTCGGCCAATGACGCCTCTGAAATAGCTACAAATTGTTTGCTAAACAGACTGGGACGTTGATTGCAAATATGAACACTGCCCTCAGTGATTGTAGTAAGAAAACTGCTCAGGGTAAAATTATCTTCCTAAGGTACTACAAATAAGCATAAAGCGGTTGAATATTTTCAGCCAAGCCCTGCGAAAAGATTTAAATGCTTCTCAGATTTTAGCAACCTTGTAACCCTGAATAAAATAGGATAGAAACCTACAAAAAATTTTCTGACGAAACTACTTATCTTATCATAATGCAGATGTGTTGATCATTTACAAATAATAAAAAGCTAACTGCATAATTTCATGCAACAATTACGAAGGTATTCTGGGCTTTGTAAACTCAAGTAAACCAATAAGGATGCGACTCGAACTCATGACGGGGGGTGCTTTTTTTTATCAAATGTTATACTATGAGCTAGCTGGGATTATACTGACTCTGCAGCGATGACAGTGTTGAATGGCAATGTCCGAGAACTTTCTTTTCAAATTATGTTCTAGAGGAGTCATTCAATACATCCACTTACACTGAGCAACAACAGCAACAGTTATGGGGCGGAAGAACTTGCTTTGATGCAACGTCAATATTCGATATGTGGTAAGTAGAGGCGGTACCTACAACATAGGCAAAAAGTTTCTCACACAGAAAAGATCATATGACGAGGATCTAGGAGGAGAGCTTTGGCAAACTTGTAGATGAAAGCCGACTTCACAATCTAGAATTACTACAAGAAGAAAAGAAAGAAAGATCATGTTAGAATTGAAACCAAATCTGCTGAAGCATACCACTGAGGCAAAGCAACTGGTCTATCGCAGTGCACGGAATCCTTTCAGTCACTGAAAAAATTCATCTCTTACTCTTCACAGCGCTGGGCTCAAAAGGTAAAGCTGCTGCAGTAAGTTATCTCATTTGTTCTCTTTTATCTAGCAGCTCGCGCCCACACTTCTTCGTTTAAACGGTGAAGACGCGCTCTGCCATATGTTAGCTTCAGATTGTGGCTATACGTGAAACATACTGAAGAGAATGGCGACTTTTGTTTGACATGAGATGGAATAACTGCAGAAAATTTGAGTAAAAAGGTGTATTCAGTGCTTCTACATCTTAATTTTTTTCTCTGTAATCAAGGGCACTTGGACATATCTGATTCGGTAACATATCACACATCAACCCAATCCGATAAGTTCAATCCAAAGAAGGACTAAGGACATACCTGCAATAAGACTACCTGCCCTTTCGTGGGATATTCGGAAGCCCACGCATTGCAAAATCGTCCTCTTGTGTATACCGCATACCAGGAGCAGGATACTGGCTCTGGAAACCTTACGCTATTCGTTGCATTACCTCACCTTCAAATGCACTAACCGTTTCGCTTGGACTCCCAGATCCCGACTGGTCGCGAATAACGCTTAATGTACTAGGAATGGAAAGAAAGAGAGCGAGTAGATATAAAAGAGAGCCAGTAAGTCCAAGGTAAAACGAATATCCCTGACGTTTCTTGAAAAAAGAAATGATTAGTTAGACTAGGCGCATTCTTCTCGAGGCCCGGTACGAGGGAAGGGTGAAAAAATGTCAAAAAATGTCAGGCAAATATAGGGAAAAAACAAAGGAGCTAAAAAAAACAGCCATCCCCATTTGCGGAGAAGGTGTGTCTAAATTGGAGAAAACAATGAAATTTTAGAGCACTGATTTTCACCACAACTTTGAACCATTCTATTATCATTGAGAAAACCGCTTCGAGACCGTCGAACAAGTGCTTGTCTAATAAGTGACTTCCTCGAAGTCATCGCGCCGTGTTCATTTTGAAAAGTCCGACACCCTCGCACCGGGCCCTAATTCAAAGACTCACTTCATATATTCCACTAACAGAGACATGATGGAAGCGATACTCGACCATATGCGACAAGATCATAAAAGCTACACAGCATCCAATGGAAATCAGTGCTAAGAAGTGGTTCTCAGGAATATAAACTATGAATGACGTGATGATTACCTGCCAGCGCTACAAGTCCGGAAAATATGACATGTACAGCTTTCCTCAGATTAACACTACGAGAGAATAGGTACGACAGCAGAGCTAACATGGCAGAAAGTTGAGCAATTAGAAAAATGTACAACAACGTAGTCTGCCACGCTGGAATGCACTGACGTAAGGATATATGCATAAAATGCAGAAAACAATGCAGCAAGGAACAAAATCTTATCCTGCACATGAAAAGTTCATTAAAATTGCCCCCTTCACGCGATTATCATACAACACAACCACACGCGCCTTTGAAATGGATGAGCACAAGCAGACAGTACTAGGCTGATTCAAGAATTTTGTTCGAGTTGCAATTTTTCCAAAAATCTCATAACTTCTTTCATAATCAACAATTTTGAACAACTTAGATCTTATTGCATTGAGGGAGTTTATGGCTACCACATGCACTGTATGCCATGTAAGGAAGGCAAGCGAGAAAGAAGAGAAAAATTTTTGAATTCTGCAAGGTCTTCTTCAAAACCGTCCAGTTTGACTTACCCTATTTTCAGGTGTATAAGCCGCACACTTTTCGCTTTAAAGGCAGTACATCGGCAGAATGAGACCCGTGACAAACCAAGGTCACAGGGTAGGAGCCCCCATATGGAACCTATCGGCCAAAGTCCGATCTTTCTCTGCCACTTCTAACCCCCGAAATTTCAAAGCGAAAGCAGCGCTCATCTCCTGTCCTCTCCGAACCCGCCCACCCCATGGACGAGTGACTTCCGCGGCCAGAGCGCCAGCCGCCATGCTATAAGCATGAGGTCCCGCAACGACTCTGCGTCTTCGCCATGACGGGCTTCGCGTTCACTCGTCCAAGGGGTGGGCGGGTTCGGAGAGGACAGGAGATGAGAGCTGCTTTCGCTTTGAAATTTCGGGGGTTAGAAGTGGCAGAGAAAGAACGGACTTTGGCCGATAGATTCCATATGGGGGCTCCTACCCTGTGACCATGTTTTATCACGGGTCTCATTCTGCCAATGTACTGCCTTTAAAGGCGAATACGCCAAAAGACTGACTGTCATCATGGAGCGCGTTAAATGAGAGCAGTATGCGATAAGGCGACCGCTTCGCGAGACATATGCGCGGCGGCACGCCTGGGTCTGCTCGCGTTTAGAGCAAAAAGGGTACGGCCTATACACCTGAAAATAGGGTGCTAATGCTTCCATATGAGTATGGGCAGACATGTTTGGCTGCCATCGTTAAGTAGCTTATACTTCAGAGGCTCTTTTGCGTTTAGAGAGAATTCGAGTTATTTTCGCAGCACAGAAATTTTGCGAGCAAATCAAAAAACCCAATATTGGAGCCCTCCTCCGCGTGCGAAAATATGCCGACTTTCTAATATTTGATTTTTTCTTGCTGTCGCAAAAGAATAAAGCTAATTGGTCGATGGTCCCTGCTTGCCCTCGCTTTACTCTAACATACGCAGTATTGAATGCATCACCTGTCACTATATGTAGATTGTTGTCGCTTGTTGAATAACTGAGTTTGTCTTCTATCTTTGAAAAAAATTGAAGAAGTAAGACATTCTCTACGTCGAAGGAAAAGTGTGCGTATGTTAGCATATTACAGCCACCCATTATAAAATACATATTTAGTTTTACGAAGCGGAAGTTTTCTTCATGGATACTTTTTCTTGAGCATGACTGCATTTTGCCAACTTTGCTTCGGGGCTTGAAATTTCATCACTAGAAAGTTGATTCACCAAGCATCATGAGCACTAAAAAGAGCAGGAAAAGTACTTCTAGATGATGTTATGGAATGCCGTAAGTGCAATACCGTAAAAAAATAGCTGCGTTGAAACAAGACAATTGAAAATCGGACAGAACTTTTGAATCAGCCTAGTAAAAATGTGTCGAAGACTTACCATAAAAAGTTGGCGCACGAATATTAATCATATCGTCAGTAATAGGAATATTCGTTTCATCTATAGATGCATAGGAGCAAACGTGCATACCCGAAGGCCTAAAATATTGTTTCACTTTCATCACAGTTGCATTTGCGTTCAAGTTTTACAACTTCTTTCCGGTTCAGCTTCTACTAATCACAGTGGCTTATCATTAATGTGTACGCATGGTTCTTTATTGCCAATCACAATGGCATCTTCTTACTGATACCAAAACCATTCTATTAAGTCCGCAAGAACGTCACAATCAGCGTACAAAAAAAAACAGCATGAGATGAGCTTACATAGAAGTACTGGAACCTGCCTTGTTTGACACGACATCCACAGACCGGTTTGTAGCCACTGCTGCATTTCCCTCACGTATGCAACCTAGAATTAGAACGCTCAAAAAACTCGTATAAAAGCAAGGGTACAGCTGAGATTCGACAGAGATTTGTTATTTGTATTTTACCTTATTTTCCTAGTGAGTTGTTTCAAAGTTCCACCTGTTTTTGGAGTTTAAGTTTTCATCATGACTCCTTTTATGAACGATCTTGAGGTATTGGCAAAACTATGCCTTAAAAATGGCAACACCAGCGAGAAAGATTTTCTAGGCGAAAATTACCAAACATCTTCTTTTGAGAACCTTTACTTGGAGAAAACATAACTCGATTGAGAATGTAGTAGAAGTGCGCAAATACTGCTCATTGTGTAGTCAATAGCCGGATGAGCAGTACCGCTGATCTTGGATTTCACCGGATTTATCCATAAAACTTTCTTGGCGAGATACACTTATTTCCTTTCTGAGGTGGCAGAAAATGCACTTCTTTGAAATTTTGACTTTGTTTCTTCCTCTCTATGTACTTAAACGTTGCAAACCTAATCTTACTATGTAGAGCAGAAGTCCCGTGACCGCACTGAGCTTAAGATTTCTATGCAACTTATAAGCACCACAGCGATAGATCATGTTTACGCTAAGATTTCAAGGGATATAGCAAAGAAATTTTCGTAGTAGTTTTGCTGTCCTTCCGAGGTACGGAATCAAGGAATGAACAAAGCTCTGTGGAAATGAATGTACGCATAAAAAGTGGGAAAAAGAGCTTACAAAAGTTGAAGACAGCGTTCTTGTTTTTTCTTTCAGATCAGCAGTTCGAAAAGGGGGTACAAAAATGGCTAGAACCTTTAAAACAAGCGGATACATTGTGACGACTTTACTTCCCCTTCCAGATAAAGACATACGTGAATGCTAACAAGCTTTATTTTATAAAAGTTAGAAGAAGTAGTTTCTGGAAGAGAAATTTGAATAAATGAGTAAACAGGGACCGTACCTGCCACGCAGGAGTTGACACAGCAATGAATATTATGATCAGACCCAAAATAGTGCTGAGCAACGAAAGTACCACTGAAATGCTAGCGGCTGACAAGATCATCTGTCGTTCGGTCCCGAGACAAAGCTAAATATAATATAGAGTTGGCAGGTCGTAACACATGTTTTGTTTCAATTTCTTCATCTTCCCCTGGAATACTTTATTCTGCAAAATTTCATAAGTGGCATACTTGGGCGAAGAACAAAGGGCTATCCGCTGGCATCATTTTCACCTCCACGGATCTGAGTTACAGTACATACAGAGGCAATTTTGAAACGGCACTTTTACCTCCATTTTTCTTTTATTTTGCAAAAATTCTTTCATTTCTTATTTTCATCTTGTAAGATATTTTATGGTTTGCGGCATCATCAGTACTAATACGAAGACAACTCGAAAATCCAAGCTTGCAATCAATGCGAGACGGAAATATGTTAGTGATTCAAACTCCAGAAAGTCGGTTTCTGTGTCACATATCGAAAGGCAACAACGTTCCACACAGTCACAGAGATTCTTCCCATCAAGTATAACAAAACTTATATTATGAGCTCATATAATATAAATGGGCAATAGAAAAGTCGTAATCGGGTTACAACCCCGCACGGACCTGAACTTACGGTGCGGCTTCAGAGCGGAGTTAACTTATTAGGCAGATGGAAATAAGCGAGAGGTCAATCTGTAATGTGACTGACTTCCAGCGAAAATTCATGCTATATTTGGTCTTACAGCACACCCGCACTGAAGAGCACGAAGGCATTCAGCTAAGCATTCGATGATAGAAAAGTACCTGAATCACAGTGTAGCTCTACTCGCGCGTCGCATTTGCTGACGGGCGCTCGTCGTTGACTGCTATCTCCATGGCGTACTGCGGCGTGCTAGAGGTTGAACAGAAGCAGGTTCCCTCTGCATGGATGCGAATGCGCGTCTATGTGACGCGATTCGATCGATCGTCCTTGATGTGGTCTGCGCGATTGCCAAAGCAACGTTGGACATGTCAGGTGAGGCACAACAACTATGCCTCCATTTGGTTGAATCGAGCGCTCTACGAAAGGACTGCCACCATGCAGCGCACTGTTGCCGCTCGCTACATATCACGCGTAATCACGACAACAGCCGCACTGCTTGACTGATCTCGCATAAGGGAAAATTGTTCGAAGTAGGTGTAAATGACGCGCACAGATGAAACATATAATTCTATAGGTTTCGTTTTATCTCAAAGTCGTTGATCAGAACACATGAGCTTTCCCATTGTCGTAAACGTGTCTATCAGAGTGTCACAAAAGTCGCGAGAGTAATCCAAAGTGAGTCCCCTGCAGGTGTAAATTTCGAGTGTGTTCAGTATTCGTTGCCAGGTCAAACTTAATATGTATCTCAACGCAAACAATTATTGAGAGATCTGTAACCGCCTTTGATGTATTGATCCATAAAGACGAAAGCAGTCTCAAAAACAAGGTTTGAAACTCCACAGTGCGTCTTCTTTCGGATCATCCCTTAAGTTTATAAAACGTATTAATGATTGGCAATAAAATGTAGTAAAATACGTAATGAGTGACCTCCACTGACGGTTAAGAGGAATGTGTAGCTCTGAGCTCACGTATAATTATGCTTTCTGTCCCCGACAAATCTGCACTTGATTGTATATGTTTTCGAGTCAGTTCCTTGATCCTACGAGCACAGTATAGAAGGGGAGCTGACACTTCTTCGACGAAATGTTAAAAACTTATATCAAATCTCTATCAGAAACCACAGGTTATGAAAAGCTGGCTTCGGGCATTGAAGTAAAGGGGCTCCAATGTGCATTAGATGATCACTAAGTGATGCTTTAAATATGGAGAGACTTTCCAAATATTAGCTTCACCTATTATCGACAATTCATTCCCATTTCCTATTACCCATCACTTCATATGGCGTCTACGTTGTGCACCGTCTACGCGGCGTCCGTGGCAGCTGACGAGAAGCCTACTGGTCTCGGTACAGTGGCACACAAGCAGGAAATTTCAGGGTGAAAAAGCAGAGGGGATATTCTTTGGGCAAGGCCACAGGAGAAGCTAGAAGAATTTAGCAGGTAAAATTTCTTGGGAACTCGACGTCAACAGCTCAACAAAAAATTGTGTGTCATATAGTGGCTATTGGAGAATGGGTCGCGAAATTTTTTGAAATTTTTTTGCATGAGTTATGAAAAAGTGCAAGTGACTTGCTTACGATTGTAGATTATTAGAATAATTTTTGAAATATTTTTGAAAAAATCTGCTGAGCCTTACAAACAATTTTCCGTGAACATGGCTGCCGCCACGCTCCCTTTTCTTGTAATTTCCTGGTTATGGGCCGCGAAAATTTTAAGAAGCACATCAAAAATTTTTCGGACTGCCTAGCGTTAGCACACTTTCATCCGAATTATGTCGTTCTTCTCCCCGACCGAATTCCTGGGTACGCCACTGGTATAATACATTCCCGTTCACTCTTCGCTCCCCATCCCCCTGCTCCCTTCCCGAAAAACTTCTCCGGCCGCCATTGTCACGTACAAATCTACATGCGACTCGCACCCTCCCCCCGCCCCCTTTATCCCCGAGTCTATATCTCTGTGAACGTCCCAAGCACTCAACATGCTTCAACAATCTCATTCTGCAAAAGCAACAGATTCGAGCTCCATTCTATTCTCGGAAAAACTTGGGAATACAGGATTATGCTAAGATAAAAAAATGGCTTACAACGAACAGGCGACGACATGACAATGAAATTGATGTGTATATGCGCCAAAATCGGGGAACACGCGGAAGGCGACAAATGCTCTGGAACAGGCGCGACTAGTGGCTACGCCCTGTCCGAGTTCTCGTCAACTCTCTTCCTTCCAATCTTTGTACTGGAGCACTTCTGCAAGCTTTTTACATGCTTCGGTTCTTGTGTGATTCATTTTTTCTCTGTTCGTGTCTATCCTTTACGAGTTCTATATCTTTCACATTTTGTGTAAACATAATTGCTTACAGGGGTATGAGGTGTATTATTGATGCTGGAGTTTCTTCATGTAGTTGCACATATCAGCGACGCAAGAGGAGTCGCCAACTGACTCATCAGAGTGACCTTTTCTTGTGTTCTCTGCTTTTCTACTTTTGCATTTCACAGTTTGCTTATTTAGATATCACCTTATGAATGTTCTCCCCCTATTTATAGCTAGCCTTTTTTGTCATCATCAAAATGTTTGCGGGACTCATTCATTCCATTTTAGTTGAGATATGCGCAAAAAGATCTTGCTTTCAACTTCTTGCGCCATAGCTATAGAATTATGAAAAGGTAAGAGCTCTTACTCACTCCTTTTCTGCTTGAACTTCGCAGATCGTTTCTTGTTGAAGGATGGATGCCATGCTAAATGCATTCGAACAGAGGCGAGCTCAGCTCAAGAGATTGTTGTGAGCATTCTGTATACTCTACTACTTACACTCTATCAGTGCCAAATTCTGCCTAAATTCAACTTTTGTGTATTCATATGGTTTTTTATTATCGTTATCCTGACGGTCGTAGATTCTTGTTTTTTCTTATGGAAATGGTAAGACTTAACATGACTTCAGTCACTTGTAAGCAATATTTCTGAATACGTAATGTTCCCTTGCAGATACCGTCGTCGATGATGACTATGTGGAACAAATAGAATCACAGAAGAACTTCGGAAACTCTCTACAGGAATTTCTTGTTTTTGAGGTGAAGTGTATTCTACATCAAACTTGGCTTTCCTTGTAATTCATTTTTTTAGAGTGAACCTATAGCTACAAGGTTTCGGGCAGCTTGTGCATTTCAAATTTACAAGTTCATATCATCAAAGTCATTTGCATTGCTGAGTGATAGTTCTATTACTCTGGTGCAATTTCTGTTGTGAATAAAGTGTTCTTTTTTCTGCACTGTCAAGCAAAGAATAGTGAGCAGAAAAAATAAGATAAACTTGAAGTGTTGACAAAGACTAAATTCTGAAAGATATCGCGAAGCTTTATTGAGTTAGGTCCGGCTGGATAATTAATGCTGACATTTCGCCAGAAAATGAGAATTCTTCTTACTTTAAGGCTCGAAAGGAAACTGCTTTGCAGCATTCATTGTGTTTGATTCATCTCTATCCGAATGATAGCCACATAACTGCATAGAACTGATGCAATTCCGTAATTTAATGCAGAAGCTAATCGAAATATGTTCGTGAGTTAGATAATGACAGAAATCGAATGTCGCTGCCAATTCTCATACTCATTCAGTTAGCTATCAGTAAACAATCTACGAGTTCTACAACGTGAGGCGTAACCTTTCCTTTATACATTGATCACAGCTACCAATTTTACACAACGAACTCTCATGGACAAAACAGAATAGTCGAAGGGGACACCGCTATCATTCAGGTGCCAGCTTATGCGCCACAAGAGCGTCAATATGATTAAATGACCCGAGGCCAGCACTACACAGCAGGCAAGAGGCGTAGCCACCGTCCCCTCGCCTCTGCTGGGTTTTGTCGCCTTCCGCACCAAACTCGCCAAAATCTAACCGAGTGACGCAATCTTGCTTCGAGCGCGAAGCGATGCGCGCGAAGAAAGTATGCCGAAAGCAGATGATACAAACATTATTGCTTTTATTGCGTGTTTGTCTTCTTTTGTTCTTCTGCTCTGTGCTTTTTCTCAGTGTCACATGGCATGTCGTAATTTGTTCACAAAGTTTAGGAACTTAAAAATTTTGCAAAATTTTTCTGAAATTTACTGAGGCTTGTTACCCCTGGAAACATCTACTTGATGCGTCGTCCATCCAGACTCTCGAGTTCAATGTTTTTGTCGTTCTAAGCCTTCTCATATTCCTGATTCCGATTATGAAGTTGAGAATCCGCGAAAATCCCGACTATCCCCGTTCCGAAACCTGCTTCGCAAACTACAAACTCAAAGAGCATGTTTTACAATGCCAGGGCGGGATATAAGCGTAGTAAACTCAAAGAGGCTCTTGTATGGTTATAGAAAAAAATCTATACTCCACCTACAAAATTCAGTTAATCTTTATATGGTTTCTAGGACCCATAACACAATGTACCATTTGATTCAACTGGCTTGGCATCGGCAAAGGCGGGGCTCCGTGACCTAGTTAAGGCTAGGCAATGATCAGAGAGCACTCGCGCGAGAGAGACGCAGGTGCGTCGCGGGCGCGAGCGGCCTCAATTGATCACAAAATCCCGCTCTAATGGTGCCAAGCCAGTTGAATCAAAGGTTAGGCCGTGAACGTTTAGAGGCCCGTTTTCGGTTTGCTATTCTCAGATAATCGCCGGGGCATGCTGTCCGCAAACTCGCGCTTTTCTGCAGGCGGTCAGCAGAATTTTGGGGCGTGGTCAAACCTTCAGCGAACCGTGCTTCCGTGTCCTGCCAGCGGCTCAGATAATCGCCGGGGGCAGGCGGTCCGCAAACTCGCGCTTTTCTGCAGGCGGTCAGCAGAATTTTGGGGCGTGGCCAAACCTTCAGCGGGCGGTACTTCCGCGTTCTGCCAGCGGGCAGCAATACAGAATTTTCTGCGAGCGCTCGTCAGATAATATCTTCCAGCGAGCGCTGGCCAAACTTTCAGCAAGCGCTCGGACTCTTTTTAGGTATTTTCGGGCGTACGTCGAGCGCAGGTAAGACTCTGTGTGGCAGAGGTGTCACCGTTGGTTTAATTACTCAAGTTTGAGGTACTTTCTCTCAGCGAAAAGTACCTGCTCAGATGATCGCCGGGGGCAGGCGGTCCGCAAACTCGCGCTTTTCTGCAGGCGGTCAGCAGAATTTTGGGGCGTGGCCAAACCTTCAGCGGGCGGTACTTCCGCGTTCTGCCAGCGGGCAGCAATACAGAATTTTCTGCGAGCGCTCGTCAGATAATATCTTCCAGCGAGCGCTGGCCAAACTTTCAGCAAGCGCTCGGACTCT